CCTCGGGTCCGAAGACTGCGGTCGGTCGTGGGACGGTGGAGAAGATCGACTCCTAGGAGTGGGATAATACCCGATGGAGAACGGATCGCCCCAGGCGTGATAGTAGGGACGATGCCATCCCTCCAAGCGCTGCTCCATGGAGCGGCTCATCCAGCTCCTAGGCGGGGACATCTCCACATCCGCCTCCATAGTGGCCGCGGGCATAGGTGTAGGTGACTGAGCCCTGGGGGGGAAGTCCTGAATTTCCCCATCAGAAATTGAGCCTCTTTGCAGAGTAGGAAGAGGCCCAGTGGGAAGGTCAGCCACATGGTGCGGGGACCCTTGAGGGGTAACCCGCATAGCCTCCTGAAGCACCGGGTCGGGTGGAGTCGGTACAGTAAGTGCCGCTGGTACCGAGGGGGCCGTCGAATCCGAGTCCCGGTGTCGAGGACGCTCCGAGTCCTTCGATTTCTTGGAAGGTTTTGAAACTTTCTCCTTCCTGGCCTTCTTATGGCCTGCCGATTTGTCGGGTTCGGCATGCTTTCGCTTCTCGTGCTTCTTCTTGGGAGAAGCAGAGGGAGCCACCGTAGTAGATGAGCCTTCGTCCAAAGGGCGTGAAGGTGGGGCCACTGAAGCGGAGCCAGGCTTTGGAGCAGCTACAAGTGGATCGGCCTGCATGAGAGCCCGATCCCAGAGGAGCCTCCGGAGGCGATTCTCACAGTTCTTCCTGGCCTGCTTAGAGAAGGCCAGACAGTGAGAGCACTTATTGGTCCTATGCCCCTCACCCAAGCAGAGGAGGCATAGGTCATGCGGGTCGGTTGGTGACATTTTTGACCTGCACTCTGCGCATTTGCGGAAAGCCGCTCACTGCGCCATCGCAGGAAAGGGAAAAAAAGAGATAGTGCAGAGGGTAAGTATATATACATATAGATAGATAGATAGATAGAACGAAAGAAAGGTAGAACAATAGAGAAAACTACAAGAACTATACGAAGTAGAGGAACTAACAGGAACAAGAAGAAAATACCGGGGCTATAACAACTGGGAGAACAATCGAGAAGAAAAGAGGCTATATGAGCAACGGTCAGAGTGAGAGCAAAAGTGGCGCGAGGCACAGTGAACGGCGGTCGCAAAGACTGAACAAAATGGCCGACACTCCGCTCTTTATAGGCCATGGGGGAGGGGGAACGGAGCTTTTTCCCGCCAAAAACTGTTAGCTTGCAATCTTCCAGCCAAAGGCACTGTGCAGGTGCAGCACCCATATGTGTGATGCACAGAGGCCACGACAAAGAACTGTTGACTATCCCATGAAAGCAAGAAATTGCCATGAGATATATTCTAACGGAGGACAGTTTTAGGCCCCTGATGTGCAGCATGTAAAGGAGGCTGATAATCTGCTGGACAGATACCTGATGTAGATCAAAGGCTTCCCCCGGGGCAAAGGTCGCAAAGTCATTTCATTTGGCCTTGTAAGAGCACCTTGTGTTTGGCTACAGGGCTGCATACAAGATTGCCTGTGTCTTGGGACAGAGAAGGGCCTCCCAATCTATAGTCTGATCCTCCATGCCATCCCTTAGTCACAAGATTTGATATCCAGTCTCACTGGAAGCTGAATGAAATTGCAGTCTGACAGGCAAAAAGGGTGAGCAAACCATGCCTGCTGGGGACACCACAGAACGATGAGGACACAAGAGCAGTCCTCCATCCTGATCTTGGCTAGCATCCTGGTGAGCAGTGGGAACAGGTAGAACAAGGTTCCATCTCAGCAGAAAAGGAATGCGTCTCCCATCAAGCCCTGGCTGATCTCAGCCCAGCAGCAGAAGGGTTCACACACTGTGTTGGTCAGTGCAGCAAGAAGATTCACAGATGGAGTTCCCCAGGTCTCAAAGAGCTGCTTCAGCACGTCTGGGTGCAGCTCCCATTCATGAGTCCCCTTGGGCCTCCTGCTCAGGGTGTCCACATTGATGTTGTCAGTTTCAGCGAGGTGGATGGCCACAATGCTAATGCCCCTCTCGCCATACACCAGTCCCAAAATTGCAGTGTGAGGCTGGTTAGGGGTGCAGACCATGTGCTGCCTTCTTTGTTCAGGCAGAACACCACCATAGTGTTGTCTGTGATGACCTGAACATGCTTGTCCATGACGAGGAGCCAGAATGCGATCAGCAGCCTTCTGGATTGTGAGGAGCTTCAGTTTATATGCTCCCTCCCTCCTGATCCGTCTACGGCTAGAGTCCTGCCGTTGGCACAGTTTGCTTCCCATCCCAGATGCAGAGCATCCACCATCAGGGTCAGTTCTGGCATCCTGAGTATGAAGGTGACTCCATCCGTCAGGTTGTGTCAGCAGGTCCACCAATGTGGAGCTCGTCTCAACTGAATGTAGAAGCACCAGCCACTTCTGGACCAAGTGCCTCATCTGTAGCCTTGAGAATCAGACAACTATGACTGTCACTACTATGAGCCCCAGAAGCCATTCCACCCACTGTACTGTCATCCTGGCCTCAATCTGAAGCTATGAAGGCAGGCTGACCAGTGCCAACCCCCATCTACTCAAAAATAACACTCATGGTGTTGTGGACGGCAGCCTTGCCCCAATGTAGAGGATGGAGTGGGAGGGAAGAAGCTCAGATTTCTTAGTACATAGTCCTAGTGCCTCCAGAATATCCCATGTGGCTCAAACTGAGTTCAAGAGATTGTCTCAATAAGGGGCAACCAGTAGCCAGTCATTCAGGTATGGGAAGACCTGGATTCCTGGAGGTGGGCCAACACCACAGCCATGTATTTCGTGAAAACCTGGGGGCTGTAGAAAGGCTGAATGGGAGTACAGAAAATTGAAAGGAATTGGGCCCAGTTTGGAATCAGAGAGAATGCCAGTAGCCTTGGTGGACGATGACATGGAAATATGCATCCCTCAGATCAACTGAGGTGAACCAGTCCCTTTGGTGCAGCAATGGCAGAAGGCTCTGCAGCAAGACCATGTGGAACTTCTAGTGAGGAATGAAAAAGTTCAGGTTTTGCACATCTAAGATGGGATAGAGGCTACCGTCCTTCTTTGGAATTGTGAAGTACTGCAAGAAGAATCCATAACAGAGATCAAATGACAGAATGGGTCAGATCACTCCCTTTAAACAGCAGCATGGAACCTCCTCCACTGGCACAAGGACAGTGAGATGCTCCCTAGAGGTGGAAGAGTGTTGGATTCTATGCAATATTCACTCTTCACAAAGGAAAGAGCACACTGATCCAAAGTTCAGACAGCCTTTAAACCAGGGGTCCTCAAACTTTTTAACCGGGGGGGTCAGTTGAAAGGTGCCGATGCTGGGCGCGGGCCGGAAATGTGGTGCTGGCGGTGTGCACGGGCTGGCGTGGGGCAGGGCAGTGCATGTGGGTGTGCACACTGAGGCAAGGGTAGGGTGCACAGTGAAGCAAGGTGGGGGGCCGGCATGCGCCGCAAGGTGGGCGCACAAGGCAGTGGCTTGCTGGCTTGGAGATCGTTTTTTCCGAGTGAGCAAACTGCTGCCTCCCCGTGTGCGAGGTGAGGTGGGTGGCAGGGGGAGCGCATGGCGGGTCTAAATGGGCATGGTGGGCTGGATTTGGCCCCTGGGTCGTAGTTTGAGGACCCATGCTTCAAACCATATTTGCATAACCGGGAGAGGGCTGGTTCACTCCAGCAGTAAATGGGGTCACCTTTTGTTGGAGAGCTTTTTCCTTCAGAAGTACTGGAATCAAGAGCTGGCATCCCTCTGGCACAGCTGGGCAGGTTGCTGCTGGCATACAGCTTAATGGTATTGCCCCTGACACTGGAATGAGGATGGGGCCAAGTCAACTTTTGTGCCCTTGGTGATTGTGAGGATCTGAAGCCCATCCTCCTGTCCATCAACATGGCTATCTGGATGCTGTCCAGCTTTTGTCTGTTCGGGCACTGAAGAGGCCATTGCTGTCAAAGAGTATCTCTTCAATTCCAGAACAAGCCTCTTGGAAGGGGCTCACTGCCTGGAGTCAGGCACAGCACAGGATCACCACCATGCTGACAAGGGCCCATGAGCTGCTGTCAACATGCTGGTGAGCAGTGTTGATTTGCTGCCTCAGCAACATGAGGGCCTTGACATGGAACACCCTACCCATTCTGCAGTGTAGTTCTAGAAGCATGGTTAGGGCACCCATCTTTTCCCACATGAACACCTGATATCTTTCTATGGTGGCCTCACAGTGGGAAATCCAGAAGCCCAGTCCCATTATACTGCTTAGGCCTTCCTTGCCACAGACTCCAGGCAGTGTTCCTCCTGATCCACCAGGTGGAATGTTCTTCCCATGCCCAGCCCTGCACCAACTACAGGATAACTGAGTTTGGACAGTGATGGTATAGTAGGAACAGGATGTCCCACTCCTGGATCTGGTACAAGGTCTCCAAATGGTGAAATGTTGGCAGTGGTTGTGTTGACATTTGTCATGGTTCCTTCATGGACTAGAGGGGCATTGGAAGGAATGGGATGGCCACCAGCATTGCATCCCCCATCCAGATGACATTCTGGTTGTTAAAGAAGTTGCACAAGGTAAATGGGCAACAGTCTGTACAACAATGCTTTCATGAACACTTCAGTTGGATCCTTTTCTTGCACACAGTTCAGAAACTAGTTTCATCTAGTGCAATCTTATTTGGATACAATGACACCATTGGATACGGCCTGATGACTAAATACTGAAATATGTCTTATTTGGGTCTGCTGTTGAGGCTCTTCTGAAAACTTCAGCTAGAACAGATGATCCCTTCCTAGCTGCTCTCAGGTGCTACTCTATTTCAGCATTTAACACCCCACCTGAAGGCTGTGCAGTGGCTGCCTTCAGGTTTAAGGTTCTGGTACTAGTCTATGAAGTCCTGAGTAACTTGGGTCCAGGGTACTTGAGGTACTTTATCCGGTTACAGAGGTAGCACTCTGACATGGCTTAGAGATCTGCTTGGATATCACCAAAAGCAGGGCTTCCCATCCCATAAAATGCTGTTCTGAGGTCGAACATGCACCTACATTGTTTTGTGTTTCTTCTCCCTGTGCGTAGAGAGGAAGAAATGTCAGTGTATATCTGCTAGACAGAATTTTGAAATCTTTAAGCATAGAAGTTGATGAAGTGGGTGAATGGAACAAGAGGAGTAAAACTCAGATGGGTAGGAGTAAACTCTAGAGTAAAGCCTACTAAATAGTGTCTAATTTAGTCCCTATTCGATCTCCTTACCAAGGGGGAAAAAGGGGGGGGGGGTCTTCAGCATATATCTAGCAGTTCCAGCTTGATTACAATAATTTAATATTTAGAAAGTTTATCTGAACCTGCATCACTGTTACAGCCCCATAAGTGACAGCTGTCCAGTAGATAGAGCCCACCATTATTCCAGCTGCAGCAAATGGACAGGCTTTTGAAATAAGGCGATCTGCAAGATCCAAGACATAAACAACTGGACCTGTAAGATAAAGGAGAAATAAGATTTTGTAGTGAAGGTTGAGTGTTTAAAGTACACATAGCAGTGATACTGTGGCAACTTTCATTTTTGTTAGCAAAAACTGTTGTTTGACTGTACGCAAAGCTCCTGTAATGTTTATAACTGCTACATTTCTAGAGCAAAATGATGTTTTTCTAAACATCTGTGATTACTGTATGACTAGATTTTTGTTGTTGTTTAAAGAAGCAGAAATTTAACAAAATACTAAGACAAAATTTCTTGCATTTTGATTTAGAAAAATCAAAGTTACTGTGTAGTAGTGTACAATGCCAGCTTTTTGGCTACCTTCTGTTCCCACCATCAATTGATCTAAAGACTGCCCTTCTTATGCCAGAAAGCACAGCTACAATCATTTATGTATTCAATTAGTATCCCAAATTTAAAAAGTAACACAAAACCAATAAAGAAATTAGCAAAAAACAGACAAACATGTTATCATCTGTTCCTGAGATTTTGGAAGTACTATAATTGAGATACAAATGTCACACAGTGCACTTATCAAGCATACAGAATTTTCCAGTCTTCGTTCAGACTGTGGCTCCTTGTGCTGTATCAGAGGCAAATGATTTTCATGAAAATGCCATGTTGAGCAGGCAAGCCTCAGAAGCACCATAGAATAAAAAACAGGTGCCTTACATTGTGAAAGCCTTGCCTCAATCCAACCTGCCATTCTTTCATTTAGATGCAGTTCTGCACTTTTAAAAATATAGTTTAAAATATTACCTAAAAGTAAGTATTGATGAAATATTAAAATACTTGAATGGGCATTACTTTTCAAGTGGCATATAAAGTAAAGTATTTCAATGATATTCTGTTCTAGTACTGTATTTGAATTGAATTCCAATGTTAAGCTTAAAAATTCCATCTTTTAAGCTTAAAAAAAGCTTAAATGTTTCCTGTAAGGGCACAAACCAAGACACAAATGTAATGGTTTCTCTTCTTGAACTTTTATTGTTCAAGTGTAAGTCTTTTTGCACATTAGTTTGGACAGGAATCCAATACGTAACACATAACATGGGAATACACCCCACACCATACGAGAAAACATGTCAACTCAGTGCAAAGCCAAACTGAATGCAAAATGCTAGTTTTCTCCTCTTTCCCAGAATGTTCACATGCAGGTGATTGACACATGACAAATTGAAATAAATTATTTCATTTTAGTTGATATATGCATCTTACCTAGCTTTGGAAATACTATTAAGTATTCTGCATTACACTGAGGACAGGCAACTCGAGCTGTACTGTTCCCTCTCTGCTTTTCATCCACCCAGCGCTGAAGACAAGTTTGGTGAACCCACTTTGTAGATCCTCTACACCTGCATGGTCTCACCCACTCTGCTGTTCTGTCATCCTCATCAGTAGCAAAACATACCCAGCAACTCCTGTGAAATAAGCAATACCTATATATTAGAAAACTAAACCTTACAACATCTCCACCACTTAGTATTTAGATACGGCAGTTCTTACCACAGTGTTTTTGAGTCAAATCCACCAAAACTTAATTTTCTAGATTGTTTAATATATAGTAGAAATATATGATTGTTTAATGTACAGCTGAAATGTTTTTCTGCAAAGTTAGTGCATGTGTGTCCCTATAATTCCAAACATTACATGGCAGTGCTCATTGTAACAAAAATATAGCTAATATAGCGAATATATTAGAAATTTATTAATAAGCTAGCTGTAAACCATACCTAATAGGACTTGTTCCCTTGCTCAAGTTTTATTTCCATAGTGGCATGCTATGTAATTAAGACCATACAGAAATAGAAGGAAAACAATGCAAGAAACAAGTAATTAACTACCACTGACAACAAAAAGTACAAAAATCAGCAAAAAAAATCAATTGAAATTTTTAAGCTGTTAGAAAGAATGAACAAATGGACAGATAGAAGATATTCCAAAACTGACGCAGTACAACTGCAAGAGCTGTATTTCTAGTGTCTCACATGTGAATATGGGAGTACTACAGGGAGAGGAAAATGGGGAGGGAAGGAGAAGCAATTCTAGCAGCAGAATTAGAAAAGGGGCAATCCACCCTTCCCCCCTTGCTATACATTCCTAGAATTTGCTACAGGGAGCAGGGAAACCTTACAGAGGAGAGTTCCAGGAAGAAGAGCAAAAAGTCTGTCACACTAGTCACCCTCTGCTAGCACAGGCTTGAATTTAAAGCACAGGGTTGAATTCAACCCAATACTTACAATGATCATGAGTAATTATGAAACAAGCTAATGGAGTTAAACACAACAATCCATATATACAGTCCAACAACTGAACCATTTTTAGCCAATTCCAGTAATTTATAAGATACACTTTAATTTTGTAAAATACTTAAGCTCACCAAAGACCTCAGTGAATGGAGCACAGTAACTTCATTTCACTCTACCAATGAAACATGCAGTCTCCTCATATGGGATTTGATACAAAGGCTTGCTATATAATATTGTTATTGATAACAGTATAACACAACTCAAAGCAGCTTAAAAGGTTCTCTTCTCCTTTATATCCTAACAACGATGAGGTAGGTTAGGCTGAGTTACCTAGTGATCTCCATGGCTAGTCGGACACTAGCACCCAGATCTTTCAAGATCCAGTCCAACACTCAAACCACTACACTGGCGCATCGGCAGCCCCCATCCCTGTGGCACCTAACTAGCACAAGAAGCACTAGGTTTGTTGTTATTCATCAATACACATAAAGGCCCATGAACTGAATTATAACATCTAAAGACACCTTCATGGACCTTACTGCTTTGTTACAGCACAAAACAGATGGAAACAGTCAGCAATGAAGGAATAAAGCCTGGGGTGGCTAAAGACTCTGAAACCTAAAACAACCTTAAGTTTTAACAATGTTTTTTTTAAACTATTTCCTACAAGAAGCAGATGATGCCTACCTAACATCCTCTATAGGTTGCTCTAGTTGCAGGAAATTTGAAGGTTGCTTTACAATGATTAATGAGGATTGGGTTACTCTGATAACACCATGGAATGCCTGAGGCAAGCTGATGCTGAGAGAGATCTGAAGTTCATTTAGATGACAAGAATAGAAAGTGACAATACTATAATGCAAAACAACACTCCTGAATTAGTCATTAAAGGCTACCTTTTGAAGTTACAAATATACTTACCGCTAGATTACAAGAATGAAATATAATGGATAGCACTTAGCCCCTAAACTTTTTCTGGAGAAGGAAATGGCAACCCACTCCAGTATCTTTGCCATGAAAACCCAATGGACAGTACCAAAAGGCAAAAAGATATGACACCGGAAGATGAGCCCCTCAGGTCAGAAGGTGTCCAATATGCTACTGGGGAAGAGCAGAGGGCTAGTACTAGTAGCGCCAGAAAGAATGAAGCGACTGGGTCAAAGCCGAAAGGACACACAGTTGCTGATGTATCTGGTGGTGAAAGGAGAGTCTGATGCTGCAAAGATCTATACTCCACAGGAACTGGAATGTAAGATCCATGAATCAAGGCAAGCTGGATGTGGGCAAACAAGAGATGACAAGACTGAACATCGACATCTTTGGAATCAGTGAACTAAAATAGACAGGAATGGATGCATTTAATTCAGATGACCATCAGGTATACTACTGCGGGCAAGAATCCCTCAGAAGAAATGGAGTAGCCCTCAGAGTCAATAAAAGAGTAGGAAGAGCAGTACTGGGATACAATCTCCAAAATGACAGAATGATCTCAGTTTGAATCCAAGGCAAACCATTCAACATCACAATAGTCCAAGTCTATGCCCCAACCACTGGTGCTGAACAGGCTGAAGTTGATCAGTTCTATGAAGGCCTACAGCACCTTCTAGAATTAACTCCAAAAATGATGTCCTTATCATCATGGGGGATTAGAATGCTAAAGTAGGAAGCCAAAAGATAACCGGAATAACAGGCAAGTTTGGTCTTGGAGTACAAAATGAAGCAGGGCACAGGCTGGTAGAATTTTGTCAAGAGAATACAATGGTCATAGCAAGCACTCTTTTCCAACAGTGCAAGAGACGACTCTACACATGGACATCACCAGACGGTCAACACAGAAATCAGATTGACTATGTGCTCTGCAGCCAAAGGTGGAGAAGCTCTGTACAGTCAGTAAAAACTAGACCAGGAGCTGACTGTGGCTCAGATCATGAGCTTTTTGTGTTGTAAAATTTAGGCTTAAATTGAAGAAAGTAGGGAAAAGCACTAGGCCACTCAGGTATGACCTAAATCCTATCACTGATGAAAATACAGTAGAGGTGACCAATGGATTTAAGGAATTAGATCTGATAGACAGAGTGCCTAAAGAACTATGGATGGAGGTTCACAACATTATACAAGAGGTAGAAACTAAAATCATCCCAAAGAAAAAGAAATGCAAGAAAGTAAAATGGCTGAGGAAGCTTTACAAATAGCTAAGGAAAGAAGTGAAAGGCAAGGGAGAAAGAGAAAGATACACCCAATTGAATGCAGAATTCCAGAGAATAGCTAGAAGAGATAAGAATGCCTTCTTAAATGAACAGTGCAAAGAAATAGAAGGAAACAATAGAAAAGGGAGGACTAGAGATCTCTTCAAGAAAATTGGAGATATGAGGGAACATTTCATGCAAAGATGGGCAAGGACAAAAATGGCAGGGACCTAACAGAGGCAGAAGAGATTAAGAAGAGGTGGCAAGATTACACAGAAGAACTATACAAGAAAGAGCTTAAGGTCCCTGATAACCACGATGGGGTGGTCACTGACCTTGAGCCAGACATCCTGGAATGTGAAGCCAAATGGGCCTTAGGAAATCTGAGCAACAACAAAGCTAGTGCAAGTGACAGTATTCCAGCTGAGCTATTCAAAATCTTAAAAGATGATGCAGTACAAGAACTACACTCAATATGCCAGCAAACTTGGAAAACTCAACAGTGGCCACAGGATTGGAAAAGGTCAGTTTACATTCCAATCCCAAAGAAGGGCAATGCCAAAGAATGTTCAAACTACCCCACCATTGCTCTCATTTCACATGCTAGCAAAGTTATGCTCAAAATCCTGCAAGCTAGGCTCCAGCAGTATGTGGATCGAGAACTACCAGAAGGACAGGCAGGATTTCGAAGAGGCAGAGGAACTAGAGATCAAATTGCCAACATATGCTGGATCATGGAGAAAGCTAGGGAGTTCCAGAAAAACATCTACTTCTGCTTCATTGACTATGCTAAAGCCTTTGATTGTGTGGATCACAACAAATTGTGGCAAGTTCTTAAAGAGATGGGAGTACCAGACCATCTTATTTGTCTCTTGAGAAACCTGTATGCGGGTCAAGAAGCAACAGTGAGAACTGGACACAGAACCACTGATTGGTTCAACATTGAGAAAGGAGTTCAGCAAGGCTGTATACTTTCACTTGAAGCTCAGGTAACAGCAGCGGCGAGGAGCGCTTTCCTCCAAGCTTCGGCTGATTCATCAGCTGTGCCCCTATCTGGAGTACGACTGCCTCGCAACAGTGACTCATGCACTGGTGACTTCCCGTCTTGACTTCTGTAACGCGCTCTACGTGGGGCTACCCTTGAAGATGGTCCGGATACTTCAATTGGTTCAAAATAGAGCTACCAGGCTGCTGACGGGAACTGGACGTTATGTTCACATGACTCCAGTTCTCCGTCAGCTTCATTGGCTCCCCATTGAAGTCCGGGCCCAATTCAAGGTGTTGGTGATGACCTATAAAGCCCTAAACGGCTTGGGTCCTGGTTACCTGAAGGAGCGCTTACATCCATATATGTCCAGCCGCCCCCTGAGATCAGCGGGAGAGGCCCTCCTCCGGGAACCCTCAGTGAAGGAAATTAGGAGGGTGGTTACTCGGAGGAGGGCTTTCTCAGAGGTGGCACCTAAGTTATGGAATGCGCTCCCCAGAGAGGTCCGCCTGGTGCCGTCGTTATTTGTTTTTCGGCGCCAGGCGAAGACCTTTTTATTTAAGCAGCATTTTAAATGTTAATACTATTGAATTTTATCTGGCCAGGGCGGCTTATTTTATTCTAATGTATATATTTTAATTGTTATTGTCTTAATTTATTGTTGTGAGCCGCCCCGAGGCTTCGGCGAATGGGGTGGCATAAAAATGTTTTAATAAATAATAAATAAATATACTGTCACCCTGCCTATTTAACTTATATGCAGAGCACATCATGAGAAAGGCAGGGCTAGATGAATCACCAGTTGGAATTAAGATTGCTGGGAGAAGTATCAACAACCTCAGATATGCAGATGATACCACTTTCTCATGGCAGAAAGTGAAGAGGAACTGAGGCGCCTCTTGATGCGGGTGAAGGAGGGGAGCGCAAAAGTTGGCTTGAAACTCAACATTAAGAAAACTAAGATCATGGCATCCGGTCCTCTCACTTCCTGGCAAATAGAT